CTGCAAAATACTGCCCCCATGATGCTAATATCTGGCTTGTACCCAACCTTCATGTTGTTAGACAGCCAAATTATTCTAAATGCAAGAAGACAAACTGAACGAACAGGGGTTGTGTAGTCAAAAAAAAAAAAAAAAGAGAGAGAAAAGGCATTTTACCAGAGACTTTACACCAGTCTTCAGATTCAGACAAAGAACAGGTAGCTATAAAATAAACTATTCTGTCAGAACACAGTAGATAAGATAAAAAGCAATGTGCTAAATAGCAGCAAGTGATAGATATGGTAGACACTGGGAAAACAGGCTAACTGAGTGGATATGGAAGTAGAGTATCTACTGCTACAGGTTTGTAAAGGTGACTCAGGCAAACATCTGTCAGGATGGGGGATAGATAAACTAACTAGGTAATCTCTAAAAGTCCCTTCTAGTTCCATTTCTTTTTTTATGATTCTGCAAATAGGTCTGTAATACTAAAATATTTCTCTGATTAGGGTCTGATGCTATCCCTTGTCTACTACAAGACTATTAATCCTTATGTTGTTAGAGACATATGATGATGGATAAAACACACAGATGACTAGTTTGCTTTCAGAAGCCATTTTTTCAGCTTTCAGCCATTTTTGCAGTCGAACTTACAGAAGAGCTAGGTTTTAAGATGCACTTATTGTGGAACTTTCTAGATCCAATGTCCTGAGTTCTTCTACAAATAATTTGATTTATAAATATCACTATCATGCTTAGACACATGATTACATTTGCATAGCTTACCTAGTTTCACTATGACATCTGAGCACTAGTAACTGAGGAAAATCCTCAGCATGCTGCAAATGCAAACTAACTAGTGGCTAATACTGAGGTTTAAGCTAACACATCTTATTATCTCTTCATAAGAATGTGCCTGATATTAGTTGCTAAATTTCAGCTGCCACATGGCAACCTTCTAGGTCACAACAATGTAATCAACAGTGCAGTCAAGTAACAGCTTCAAAGATAAATTCACATTCAAAAGCAAGTCTCAGGCAACCTGGAGCCTAATGCTAAATCTTATACTGTTCCTTAGGCCTCCACAGTAAGCCACTGTGAAGGCACATTTTAAAACTAAAAGGATGCTTGTTCTGACTCATTAAAGTTGTTCTTATGCTCTTATAATATGCTGTCATGCTCTGTCATTTAAATCAATTCTAAAAATGGACTCGGACACTGAAGTTTTCTAGGTGCTTTTGACAAAAATATGTTTAGCCCTTCTCAAAATCTTTTGGGCACGTGCCTAACTAAGAAAATACTTTGCTGAAGCAGAGAGAAGCCAGCATGCATTTCCAGTTTTGTGTACTGTACTTCCAAGTGTATTACTCATCTCTTTAGCTATATGACAACTAAATAAGCCAAAGTGTCTTGGAAAATTGATCCTATAAGCACAGCTGTCCGGAAGGAATACCCAGAGCAGTGATGCTGATGATAGTTTGACTGAAGTCAAAGACAGCAAGAGCAATCCAGAGTCTTGACCCATTTCACACAAGTGAGACCATCAGTCGGTCTTAATGCAGTTATTTCCTTATCCACCATCTAGCATTTATTGTGTTTACATTCCTGCATTCTATTTTTCTCCTGGTCTATTACTGATTTCAAAAAAATCTATTCTGAATGTGAATTAGCATCTCCAATAATATCTACAACAAACACATTTGTGTCATATTTTTAGTTCAGGTCAGGTGCCTAATTGGAGCACTTGCAGGACTGCTGGCTCTTGGGCTTTAATTGTATGAAGTTCAGGAAAAAGTGACCATAATAGCATTAAGGAAAAATAATACTTTATAAGTGCAAGTGAAATACACTTCGATTTGCATAATGGATTTAGTCAGAAACCCCTACTGTTTCACAGAGGGAAAAGTGCATGTGCACAATAAATAAATTATACTCTACCATCAATATGTTGCATCTAACTACATTAGGGGCTCTCTTTTTTCCCTCATTACTTAGGTAAGAGGACATGTTGGAAAACACATGTTTCTTCATTATGCTACTTAAACCATTCAGTAAATCTGCTTATAGACAACAGAAACATTTTTACTGCTCCTATCAAGTAAGTTATATTTAAAACAAACCTTTCACATCTTTACATGTAAGACCTCAAAATACTGTAAAAACGTTATGCCCAGAGGAAGTCCCTTTGGCAGCTCTTCCAGCTCAGGTGGAATATGACCAAAAGCTTCTTCTTTGACCTTCTCTACCTTCGGACTGCTTTGCTTTCATGGACTTTTCTTAATTACATCCTTCTAAGTCTACTCATTTCAGAAAAGGCATGTGTGAACCACTTCCTTCATGAAGAGGGCTTGCAGGTTTCTTTCAATTATTCATTGCAAAATGATTTTCCTGAAATGCTGTTAATATTTGTTGGATTTAATTTTACTCTGGCAAAGCACTGGTTAGAAATTGTTAAACTTAAATCTGTATTTATAGAAAATGCACTTTGCTTAGAAAAGAAAGCTTTAAAAAATTGGATTATTTTGGTGAACTTAATGGAATTATTTGTCTTCCATATTTTTATTCTCTTCTTCTGTGTTTTTTTTCTGTGCTTTTCCTGTTTAAAAAAGAGAAGGAAAATATGGAACAATACTGAAAATTAAATTTGTGCTCAATCAAAAAAAAAAAAAAAAGAAAAACAAGAAAAAGAAGAATGTTTAGAATTAACATCCTTTATGATCTCAAGATTGTTATTATTTTAATTTTGGCCAGCTCAGTTCTTCTCCTTTTTCCAGCAACCAGCTGGCACATATGAGAAAAATGGATTCATAAATATGCCCTCATTTTTAAATTTAAAAAATCAAGGAACATATTATAGATCATAGAACATACTGTGGGCTTGGTTCTGCGAGGCATTGCATGATTTCAGCTCACTTTGCACTGCGTGGATTTGAGGCAAAGTGTTACATGGCCATACACTTTTGTTAGCTTCGTTGCAGGTGAAAAAGTAGAACAGGAGCATCAGAAATGGAAAATGATGGCAGAAAAAAAAATGGTCCTTGGTTCTTTATGGCTGATGGAAACAGCTTTTCTCCTAGGTTCTCCCATGAGCTTTATGTAGGCAACACAAAGGTAGACTGCAAGAGGACAGGAAACGGGGGGCAGGGAACAAAACTAGGTCACGATGCCTGGGCACTGACTCAGTCATCTTTCCAGCTGCTTCACTCTGAAGCCACGGGCAGTCTGGTACCCACCTTAGTACCACTGGTGTTTCTGTCCACCCTTGCAGTCAAAGGTGCTGTGTGCATTTCGACATCAGGCAGCTATGAAGACATAGGCAAAACTTGACCCTTACCTGGCACAAGGAAAGGAACTCCCTTCCTTTCCTGCCTGCAAAGGAACGGAGGTTTCCCCACCTAGATATTGATCACTTGATTACTCAGTGCTTGCAACTAAGGGCTCCCTTTCTGCTGGGGTCATCTCTTTCATCTTGTGATGCTCTGCAGAAGGGGGTGGTATCGCTGAAGGGTTTTTATTGATACCTCTGTTTGCTTTTGAACACACACTGCGCGCCCCGTAGGTAGTCCCGCTGCGGATCAGCTGTCTTGGCGCATTTTCAATAATTCAGCCTGTGCGCTTCGGCTACCTAAGCTTGGGGGAGAAGCCTAATGCAGTGCCCAAGAGCTGGGCTTCCTCCAGGCGGGAGGAGGTACAGGCTGTGTAGGCTCTCCTGGGCTTTCCCTTTGTGTAAACCCCATTTTCAAGCTTATTTGCATGGGAAAGGGCCAGCCCCACAAAGGTCAAATGCTCTTCGGTGGGAACTTCTGCTGAAAGCAAACTGCGCAGGGAAACTTTCCTACGGGAAAAATAAGAGGCATCTCATTTTCCCTCTCCGAAATCTTCCATGAAGGCAATATGCCGTTTGCAGTATCACGTCACGCAAGAAATGCTGCCTCCCAGGGTGGCTGGATTTTAGACCCTGGATTTTCCCTTGGATTTTTTTTTTTAAGGTTTATTTTTTATTTCAGGGGGAGATCGCGCCGCCGCAGCCGGGTAGTAGAGGGCTCCCTGCGGGGCTGCTGTGCGGGGCGCTCTCCGCGCTACCGCCCGCCCCC